CTACAACCTGCCTTTCCCGAAGCCTTCTTGGTAGCCCAGTCGTACCCTTTTCCCCTTTTTTGGTTCTGGGTTGCCTTTTCCCCTTTTTTGGTTCTGGGTTCCCTTATCAAGTAACCAACCCAAAACTGGGTGCGCTTATTGTACTATGGCTGCTGGGGCTACCGGGCCTTTCTTCAAGCGGCAATGCTCAGCTGGACGCGCTCCAAGGGGGACATCCAACTCTTTGGAGCATTAGGGTTTATACTTTGGGCTTCTGTAGAGGGGTTTAAAGCCTAACCCTAAACCGTAAACCCTAAACCGTAAACCTTAAGGTTCACGAGGCCTTGCTGGGATAGGCAGAAGAAGTGGCAATCAGCATTGGTGATCGATGCGACGTCTCCAAAATGCCCTCAACCCTAGATTCACGATCCTAGAACCCCATATCCCTACAACCCTGTTGCTCTTCAACCCTGTAAACCCTAAAAATTCAAGAGTCTAAAGAACAGCCTTCAGCCCCAAACCCGCAACCTCAAATTTGACCGAAACTGAACCAGGGGGGGTTTACGAAAATTAAGGGGCCCTTTATAAGGACCCCAATGAGGTGCCCCTAGTTTGGGAAACCTCCAGGTCGTCCTCGTCAACGAGCTGCGCGAGCAGCTTCTGAAATCGGAGCCCACGCCGGAGGACGGGTGCCCCCGCACATGGACGCCGGGTTCCGTGCTCAGGGTTTAGGGTTTAGGGTTTCGGGTGTGGGATATGAGGTGCATGACCCGTCACCTCCTTTTTGTTTGGGGCGGGGTCTCAATGGCTAGCAACCCGTTACCACAAATACCCTGATATTTCATCCGACCGGACTGTTTCCACCGGACCCAAATGTCAGCGTAGCACTGCGACTGCCTAGAGTACACAGAATGCTGGGAGGATCCAAAATTTAGAACCCCCCCTAAATAGTACCCCTACGCTACTATTGTGTCATTTCCAGAGGGGATCGTGTTTTGGATCCTTCCAGGGTCATTCGGTGGTTTAGCAAGTTTAGGTTCAAGCTTCGTTCCAGCTCCAAGTAGGGCTTTGCTTTGTTCTGGACTCCATCAGCAGTTGAGGAACCCAAACCCCTGGGAGGATCCAAAAAGTAGATCCCTTAAGGGTTCCTAGAAATGACCCAATAGTAGTATAAGGTACTATTTGGAGTTCTATGCTTTGGACCCTAAACCCTAAACCCTACAACCCTACAAACCTACAACCCTAAACCCTAAACCCCTCCCAGGGGTCTGGGAAGCCGCGGGATCCCCTCGACCCCAAGCAGTTGAGGACAATGTCAACATCTAGGCCACTGAGGATGTCAGGCATGTAGGTACTAGTAAGATTCTTACTACTAGTTCAGTATGATTCTTAGGCCAGACCCCTGGGAGGATCCGAAAAGTAGAACCCCCAAATGGTACCCCATACTACTATTGCGTCATTCTTGGGAACCCCGAAGGGAATCTATTTGGGATCCTCCCAGGGGTCTGGGAGACGACTTCACCCAACAACCTAAGCAGGACCCGCTTTCGGAGTGCTGTCTACGGTTTGGAGCCCAGAAGCTGGTTTAGGGTTTAGGGTTTAGGGTTTAGGGTTTAGGGTTTAGGGATAGGGTTTAGGGTTTAGGGTTTTGGGTTTAGGGTTTGGGGTTTGGGGTTTGGGGTTTGGGGTTTGGGGTTTAGGGTTTAGGGTTTAGCTCAGCATAGCGGCGTGTGTAAGAGCAGGGTTTGGGGTGTATAGGGTTTGTAGGGTGAAGGATGTATAGCAGTTTGAGGTTTCTTCTGGGTGTGTGGGAGTTATTGGTTCAACGGGTTTATCGGCCACATGGGTCTTACAGGGCTTACAGGGATTGTAAAGGTCTATACATTGTGCTCACTGACATACCCAAGACCCCTGGGAGGATCCCGAAAGTAGATCCACTTAAGGGCTCCAAAAAATGACCCAATAGTAGTAGAGGGTACTATCTGGGGGGGGTTCTGTTCTTTGGGTCCTCCCAGGGGTCTGGGTACCAAGTGGTCAGTTCTCAAGTTCCTGGTCATAAGAGGGACCCTAAACCCTAAACCCTAAACCCTAAACCCTAAACCCACAAGGGCCCTGCGACATAGGTTGCTCCAGGTTGTGCTTGGGGTTTTGGAGTGTCGTAGCTCTCCGCGACTTGTATCAGGCGCGCCGTCACGTACACTGAGTGGGAGGTGCAGGCCACTGCCCGGGGGGGGGGGGGAGGGGGGGCGGGCTGCGGGCTGATTTGGGCTTCTCGCTATTTCTCTACATGGAAGGTGCAGGCCCCTTACCATACCAACTACTGCGCTACGTTTAGAAACTTTATAACACAGAAGCCCTAGACACTGAGCACTACAACTATTTGAACCCCCCCAAATCCAGAATAAGGATCCTTATATTGCCCTTGCAAGGAAGAATTGTTTACATTTTTTGGGTGGTTCTTAAGCAAAAGTAGTTTTTTACCTACACTCTAACCCCCCCAAAACCTATACCCCACCTTAGTTCGGAGTTCTCGGATTTGCCGGGCTGCAATGGTACACCTACTCAGGGCTTTGCTTGCAGGCTGTGGGCGACAAGGTTTACAAGGCTTCGGCGGTAGGGCCGCAAAGAATTCCGACAAGGAGGGGCTCCTTTACTGTACTATCTATAGCTAAGGGACTTAAACCCTGAGTTAGGATCCTTATACCCCCATTTCGGGCCTTAAAAGCTCTAACTTATAACTAGGGTGGCCCCTCCCTTGTAGAGATGGGTTTAGGGCCTATAGGGTTTGGGGATGAGAATTTGGGTCTTGAGTTTCGGCAGTACGGAGGCAGGAGCAATAAAACCTGAATTTGGGATGTTGTCCCCCGCATACTAGCAGTCCCTCTAATAGAAGTTCTCATAGGGGGAACTATAAATCCCTATTGAGGACTGCTAGCATACGGGCGAACATCCCAACCTAAACCCTTATCTGGTGTACAGGTCACGTCTCGAGCTGAGCAGCTTACAGTGGTCTGTACGTGATTTCCTCCCTTGTTGCTTCCTGGGACCCCTTTATGCCTACGTAACTTACTTGCAGGAGTGGGCTACTTACAGAAAGAAAAGGTTCCTGTGTTCTGAGATGGCGCTGGGCTGCATTACCGGGAAAAAACGGTTCCTAGCTTCATTGTAAGATGGCTATGGGCTGCTGCACCCTCAACCATCAAGCCCTAAACCCTAAACCCCTAACCCCTAAACCCTAAACCCATCAAGCCTACTATAGCGAAGTGAAGATGTCACCACCGAAAGGCGGACAAGCGCGCTGGTCCACCCCGGGCACAGGTGTTCACCGAGATTCCAGAGAAGGCTCGCAAGGTTGTCGACCCTTAGGGTTTAGGGCTTAGACCCTAAACCCTAGACCCTAGACCCTATAAACCTAAACCCTAAACCCTAGTATAGGAGGCCAGCAGCTTACACCCCAAACTGTTCTCCTAGTGTCCAGGTTTTGGGTCTTTTAAGTATATTTTCCAACAGGCTGCCGTTGCTGCTGTTGTTGCTGCTGCTGCTGTAACGTGACAACATTCTTGGACATGAAGCAGCCGGAATTCTCAGGGTTTAGGGTTTAGGGTTTAGGGTTTAGGGTTTAGGGAAGGGTCAGAGTCTCAGAGTATCAGGGCACTGCATCAGAGGCTTGCCAAGACTGAGCGTGTGACTGAATCATTCTTTCCCATTCCAAGTATTCAGTGGTCTCGCCCTCCATGATTGTGTTCGGAGTAACAGACTGTCGTGCAAGATTTATGATCATACTCGCTGCTTGAAATTTATTTGCAGGAGCATTGGCTTAGGGCCAAGACTTGTCACATGTGCGCATTGTCCCGGCAAGCCCCACTGCTCGGGGCCAACCATCCCTTCCTAGCAGAAACCCCCACCCTCCATCTCGTGCCTAGAGTGTCTCGGGTTAAAGGCTTTCTGTTCAACCAAGGGCTGTTTGTTTCAAAGAAGTTTATAGTTGCACACGGCGCAGTCAACAGGAAGTCCAAAGCCTTAACCTTAATTCCACAACCCTAAGCCCTAAGCCCTAAGCCCTCAACCCTAAACCCTAAACCCTAAACCCTAAACCCTAAACCCTAAACTCACAGCATTCCGAGGGTCCTACTCGAAAGGGTCCTCGTAACCTTGGGGAGTGAAGGAGCCCTAAACTTGGTGTCGTATACCCTATACCGCGAGAATTTCTTTAAGGTATATACCCGAAACCCTAAATCCTACATGAACCATAAACCCTTTTAGGGTTTATTCATGGTCCCCAAATTAATCCGACCTCAGAAGCCAAGAATTTTGAGTGTGGGTTGTCTAAGGTTCTGCCTGAAAGGGTCCATTTACCTGCATTGCATATTCTGAAAATGGGAGTTTACGGACATCGGGGACCCATAAGATAGACCCCCCAATGGTAGGATTCCCGGAATAATACGGACCCCAATAAGGTTCCCGATTGTCGGAAACCCCCATTAGCAAAAAGGTGTAGGGTTTAGGGTTTCGGGTTTACATACTTGGGTCTTGAAGGGTCTCGCCCCAAATATGTACTATGTAGGTACATAAGGCCCCTTGGGTGTGGATCTGCTTTGCAGGGTACCCGAGCCATATCAGGAAGTAGGGATTAAACGATAAGGACACAGAGATACATATACATCTACATATACACATATATATATATATGTATACATATGCATAGCTTTGGGGGTACCCAAGCTTCTTAGCTGTAAGACCCTCTCGTTAGCATTGCGTTCCTAAGATGTCGCAGCATGCGGCGCTGAACTGGCACAAGCGACGAAATCTCCCTGGCCAGCGGGACCGCTGAGAACGTAAAACATGAGACAGTAAAATGCATGATAGAATGTAGTGTGGTAGATTCATGATTTGTTCAGTGGTTCGTCGGATGTATGCTGTCGATGTAAAGACACCCTACTGAAACCTGACAAGATAATAGCGCTTTGAGGCAGAGAGGGTTTATGTGGTTGAAGCAGGTGTAGCCCTTGCACGATGCTCTGATGTCTCTTCGCATCGCCGTCGCATTCTTGAGCGGGCGCCAAACGGTGGTTGAAGCAAAGCCCGACTGGACCATCAATGACTTGCGGAGAGCAGCAGAGCTTTCCTTGGGTGCCGGGGTGGCCACACTGATGACGGGCACGGGGCAGGTGCTTGAGGGATCAGCGACCTTGAGCCAGGCCGGCTTGCAGAACGAAGAAACCCTGACGGCCACCATACGGCCGGCAATGATTGCGGCAACGAACAAAGCCTTTGCCTGGATTGCTCTGGATGTTACTGCTTGGGGCCATCCGCGGACTGGTGGCGACTGTACGCGTGTCTGGGTGGCCTAGTTGTACGTTTTTTTGTTTTAAGTTCAAGGCGCCCTTTAAAAGATAACCAACCCAAGCAAGGGTACCCCTTGGGACTCTTCGTATCAGGGGGAACATCCCAAGGTGCCCTTATGATAGCTCGCCGACTGGGCTACAAGTAGGGCTCCCTTAGTTGTAAGTAGAGTTAGAAGGACCCTAAATTGTGTTACAAGGATCCTAGCTCAGGTTAGAAGTCCCTGAACTATAGGTAGTATAGTATAAGGGCGGCCCCCTCCTTGTACCAAGGTGTACAGGATCGGCTGGTGGATGTACGCCAGATCCAATCCACCCATGGTGCCTTTGCAGCGCTCTGCAGCGACGGGAGCGTGGTGACTTGGGGCGACATGGCAGCTTGGCAGCCCAGGTCGCCCTAAACCCTAAACCCTAAACCCGAAGCCCTAAACCCTAAACCCTAAACCCTAAACCCCAAACCCCAAACCCTAAACCCTAAACCCTAAACCCTAAACCCTAAACCCTAAACCCTAAACCCTAGGTGCCCCCTTGGTGCCCGTTTTGCTGGCTTCAAGGCCACCCTAAAATGAAGCAACCAACCCCCAAAAAGGGTACCCTCTTTGTAAGATGGGTACTGGGCTACCAAGTCAGGGGGGCCCCCAAAAAGGGTTTAGGGTTTAGGGTTTAGGGTTTAGGGTTTAGGGTTAATAGCAAACGGTTACTGGGCTACCAAGGCAGGAGGGGACTCCAGCCGTGTGCGGCACCGACTGCAGCAGGTGCACCCTATAACTATAAACCCTAAACCCCTAAACCCCTAAACCCTAAACCCTAAACCCCTAAACCCTAAACCCTAATTCCCTAAACCCCTAAACCTAAACCTTAAACCCTAAACCCTAAACCCTAAACCCTAAACCCTAAACCCTAAACCCTAAACCCTAAAGCTAAACCCTAAACCCTAAACCAGGTGCAGCAGCTCCAGGCCTCTCACGGCGCCTTCGCCGCCGTCCTCCGCGACGGCTCGGTGGTGACGTGGGGACATCTGGGCTTCGGCGCTGAGAGCCGTGCTCCCCGGACCCAAGAACCCCCCAATTGGGGGCGTTTAGGGTTTAGGGTTTAGGGCTTAGGGTTTAGGGTTTAGGGTTTAGGGTGTACCGGATGCTACCGAATATTCCCTATAAGTATACTAAGGTATACACGAACCCATAAACTACTCTAATTCCTCTACTGAGGTGTATGAACCATAAACTACTAGAATTCCTATTAAGGTATATGAACCGTAAACCTTGGGATGTTCCACCATATAGCAACAGTCCTTGATTGGGATTATCATAGGGGTACTATAAAACCTATTCAGGACTGTTACTATAACGGGAAACATCCCAACATAAACCCCTAAACCCCTAAGCCCCTAAGCCCCTAAACCCCTAAACCCCTAAACCCCTAAACCCCTAAACCCCTAAACCCTAAACCCTAAACCACTTGTTTCTTTGGACCCCTAGAGGCTGTGCAGGGCCGACTCGAGGGCGTGCGCGCAGTGCAGGCCAACAAGGCCGCCTTTGCCGCGATCCTGGAGAACGGGCAGGTGGCTTTAGGGTTTAGGGTTAGGGTTTAGGGTTTAGGGTTTAGGGTTTAGGGTTTAGGGTTTAGGGTTTAGGGTTTAGGGTTTAGGGTTTAGGGTTTAGGGTTTAGGGTTTAGGGTTAGGTTTAGGGTTTAGGGTTTAGGGTTTAGGGTTTAGGGTTTAGGGTTTAGGGTTTAGGGTTTAGGGTTTAGGGTTTAGGGTTTAGGGTTTAGGGTTTAGGGTTTAGGGTTTAGGGTTTAGGGTTTAGGGTTTAGGGTTTAGGGCGCGCGGTTCTACCTGTGCTGTGCTTCATAGACTGCTCCCTTTTTGGGGAAGGGTGAGGGATCTCTAACAAGGTAAACGACCGTAAAGAGGTGTGTGTGTGTGTTCTATATATATATATATGTATAAATACAGAAGTATATGTATGATTAGAGTGGTCCCAGTACTTATGGTACATCTCGCTGCATTGAAGAGGAATTTTGAAGGTTACTCTATAAACCGGGGGTTGTGGTTCTAATTATCCCTAAGATTTCACGTGCCTATCTGGTATATGCCTGGGCGCTAAAGTTACTATATGGGAACCCCTCTAACGCCCAAGTGTAAAACCCCAAACCCTAAACCCTAAACCCTAAACCCGAACCCTAAAGCCCTACACCCTAAACCCTAAACCCTAAACCCTGCACCCCAAACCCCAAACCCCAAACCCGAACCATGAAGCTCTACACCTAAACCCCTCAGTGGTGGTTTCACATGTTTGAGCCCCCAGGTTGTGACCTGGGGACGGGCCGACTCTGGCGGTGACAGCTCGGATGAGCAACTTGCTGTTGAGAATTTTTGAGGGTTTAGGGTTTCGGGTTTAGGGTTTAGGGTTTAGGGGATTCGGGTGTAGGGTGCAGGGTGGGTTTAGGGCCTTCACAGGGTTCACGAACCGTGCTTGGGGCTTTGGCATTTAGGGCTTCGGGTTGAGGGTTTAGGGTTTCGGGTTTTTGGATTTAGGGTTTAGGGTTTAGGGGCCCACATAATGTAGCATCCAGGCAGGACGACCTACGAGATGTGCGCGCCATCCAGGCCAGCAACCAGGCTTTCGCCGCAACTTAATTTAGCTGAATGAGTACACTCTACACCTTTTGGGAAAAAACCTATAACCCTAAACCCTAAACCCTATAGAACTGAAAGTGTACACTTTTTGGGATTCTATAACCTCATTAGAACTGAAAGCGTGCGCTTTTTTTACGAACTCAGCAACTAAGGCAATACGGGGAGACGGCAGCGTGGTGACCTGGGGTGATGGATCCCATGGAGGACCCCCCTGGTTCTGGGTTTAGGGTTTAGGGTTTAGGGTGTAGGGTTTAGGGTGTAGGGTTTAGGGTTTAGGGTTTAGGGTTCGAGAACCAGCCGGAGGACGGAGCGAGAGGGTCCAAGACGAACTGTATGATGCGCCTTGGGCCTTGGCGGCTAGCAACCCTTTCTGAACCGCCTTAGCTTGCACGTATACTGTTATGTATATATATATATACACATAAAGCCAGCACGCCATCTATCCATATATATATATATATAGAGAGAGATAAATAAATAGATATAAATAAATCTAAGTAAATACATATATATATACTTATTTACTTTTTTCTATGTTTATTACTTAGTTATTCATGATTTGATTTATTTGTCTATTTATAGTAACTTGTATATATATATATATACGAAGATAGGCATCGCACAAAGGGAATTCAGGGCCGGGCCGAGAATCCAAAGTATGTTGGGTTCATTTCGTCCCCAAGGTCTGGTTTACCTATATTTACTTGGGCCTTAACCATATAGGCCCAAAACCCTAATCCCCTAAACCCTAGTCCCTGAACCCTAAACCCTATAAGCTTTAGGGCCCCAGGGAAAACAAAAGAAACAGCAATTAGGGTTTAGGGTTTAGGGTTTATGAGGGCATGGTGCATGGGCCCTTTGGGGGTGCAGGTGTGTGCTATCCAAGCCACGAACTCTAGCTTTGCCGCGCTGCGTACCGACGGCTCCGTCGTCACATGGGCCGGGACGTTTGGTGGGGGCGGCTGGGCCGCTGTTAGGGAGGTTAGCTTGAGTTTGGGTTGAGGGTTGTTGGTTTAGGGTTTGGGTTTCAGCGTTTAGGGTTTAGGGTTCAGGGTTTAGGTTAACCTAGGCAGGAAACCAGAGTTCTCACCATAGAAATACTGGGAGTTCTTCAACTTGACTAGTGTTCCTGACGCAGCCGCCCAGGCGACTCAAGCAGTGTGCAGACTCAACTTCGAGAGGTGCAGCAACTCGGTAGCCTACTTATTAATTAGGGGTCGGAATATTTTCTGATGGTATTTCAAGGTGCCTTTAGAGTTATAGTATGATAACCCCCCCCCCCCCCCCCCAGAACCGTGTTTTACTTATTGGGGCCCCTATATTAGAAGCACCCGTCTCTTCACCCCCCATCTGGAGGAAAACATGGCGGAGAAGCAGACATGAGGGGGTCATGGTTTAGGGTTAGTTTGTGGTCTAGAGTTTAAGGTTTTGTTGAGCTTCGGAGCCCAGGGATGAGGATTCTGTGTGTCTGGGGCGCTGTTCCATGGCTTACAAACTGCACGGGCGCGATTCTTTTTCCAACAACACAAGCACGTATACGGTTTCTTTACAGCAGTGCTTTGACAGCTTCGTAGACTTTTGGCTTTACATGCTACGACTCTGGTTTCTGCGTTGCTTTGTGGTTTTGGCCTTCACGGCCGTCTTTGGCATTGGTGCTCCACACCTTGCCGTCTGGAGCCAAACATACATCGCGGGCGGGCTTTTCACTTCCAACCGCTCCTCAAATCCTGAATATCCACACCCCTCCTTGGTCCATCCGAGAGGATCGGATCACCTCTCAGATCTGCGTAGGGATTCCCATGTCTCTGGCGCACACTTGACACAGGTCCCTTTCCTTTCTCTCATGCTGTGGGATATTCCTCAACCCCCAGCATTGTTGATCTGTGTGGACGGTTCGTCCTCCATCACACAGAAAAAAGGTTCGTGGACATACTTCTCGCACGCGAATGATTGGCTCCCTTGACTGCACCAACCTCACCATCGCCAAGTCAGCTTGAACCCCCTTCTCCAAGCGGGCCACTGACCCTTCGGCCTCACACGATGGCGAAGACTCCGCCATTCTCTCTTGTCGCATGCCCATTGACTGCTCCCATGACGAAGCAGCCGCCTCACGCAGAGATCTCGCCCCTGCCGCCACATCTTCTCTTCTCCTTTGTTCCCTTGCCTGCCCTGCTGCACAACTCGGCCCCCTTGAAGCGCAACTTGCTCCTTGATCGTGCCTTGTAAACCGGGCCACCAGCTCGGTCAACTTCTCGTGGTCCTTTTCTTCCAGCCAGTTTCCGCGGTTCACCAACTCCGACAGCTCCTTGCATTCTTTTTTGCTCAGAGGTCCATCTTGTTGTCGTCGGGCGAGGTCACGAAGTTTTGGAAGCTTTCTTGCTCCCCTCCTCAAACATTCACGAAGGCACTCCCAAACCGCCAACACTGCGATCAGCGTAACCAATCCCAGGAAATATAGCTCCCATTCCACCCTCATCGGGTTTTGCCAGTCCTCCTCCTCGCGGCCCTGCTCCTCTCTTCCAGCGCAGCACTTAACCATAACCACCACTAAGACCACTATCCTAAACACTCCAACCCACCTTGTTGTTGCTTGTGGCTGCGGCTTCGCTGCTGTTGCTGCTGTCGAGATGTGCTCCTTTTCCGCCCACCGCATTGGCCTCAACGCCACCACAACGTCGTCCACGTAGAACTCGGCATGCTCCACCACCATCTTTCGGATTCTTGTAGAAGGCGACGGCGAACTTGTAGTAGGCGACGTTCCAGGCGAACTTGTAGGAGGCGGACTTCCAGGCGAACTTGTAGGAGGCGGACTTCCAGGCGAACTTGTAGGAGGCGAACTTGCCTGAGGCAAACTTCCCGGCGAACTTGTAGGAGGCGAACTTGTCTGAGGCAAACTTCCAGGCGAACTTGTAGGCGGCGACTTTGACATAAGTGATGGCGGACTCATTGGAGGCGTCCCAGGTGATCCTGATGAAGGCGACGGCGAACATGTCAAGGGCGAGGTTCCAGGCGAACTTGTAGGAGGCGACGTTCCAGGCGAACTTGTAGGAGGCGACGTTCCAGGCGAACTTGTAGGAGGCGACGTTCCAGGCGAACTTGTATGAGGCGACGTTCCAGGCGAACTTGTATGAGGCGAACTTCCAGGTGAACTTGTAGGAGGCACCCTCATAGCTTTCACCCTCGGTTCCGATCTGCTTCTCAGCCCCCACTTTTCTCCAATGTCCTTCAGCCTCTGGCTCGGGACCTGTTTTGTGAGGATATCCGACAACTGCACCAGTCCTCGCATTTCAACTTCAGATGCCTCGTCCTCCATGAATTGTTCTCGCCACCCAAGATCGCGAGCGCCGCTGTGCTGTCGATCATCAACACACACCGGTGTGGGAATATTTGCATATCCCTCAACGTTGCTCTCACTGCCTCCATCATCTGCGCCCCTTCCGTCACCGAGATCACTTCCGCCTCCGCGCTGCTCAACGTTATTGTGCTATGCCTCCATGACTTCCAGCACAGCACAGTATTCCTCCACACCACCATCGCCCCTCCGTGACTTCGTCGGCCTTCCGGGGCGAACGATGCGTCCGTAAACGCATACAGATCCCGGGGATCATCTTGCACACTCTTGCCCGTGAACAAGCCCATGCTTCTTGTCGTGTTGATGTAGGCCAGCAGCTTCTTCGAAATCTTGACCGCTCTCTCTGGATCTCTTGTTGTACACGACGAAACTATAGCCACTGGGAAACTTATCTCTGGTCTCGTACGCTGCGATAACCAGAGTAGTTCTCCACATCGTTGTTGTGCATCCTTCACATTGGCATCGAACAAGGCTTTTTCTTCCGCGTCGGTGGGGATTTCCGGCATCTCATGCTCCATCGTTAGCCATTCCTTTGTCGCTGGTAGGATGCTGTACTCATTCTCGGCAGCGTGGGCCCTCACGATCTCCGCGGCGTACCCCTCCTGGGACAACGAGTACCCCTCCTCGGTTCTTCGAATTTCCATTCCCAGGAATCTGACTTGCCCTTCCTTCGTCACCCACTGCATGCCGCTCGTCTCCCATTCACTGTGTAGCCAACTGAAGAAGCCCTTTATGGTTTCATCCTCCCCAACCGCCAGCACATCGTCCACATAGAACACAACGTACCCGATCACGACCTCCTTCCCTTGCACCACCGCCACAATCTTGAAGAGGTTCGGGTCCGTGACGCACGGCTTTAGCGTAGCTTGCACTTCCACCCCTTTAAGCTCTGCGCTGAACTTCGCCTCCGCGGCCCGCGTATTCCTGAAGGTGGTCCACCACTTTGGACTTTGTCTGAACCCGTACAACGCTGTTTGCACTAACCAGCATTCCCCTTCTTGGGCCAGACCAGCTGCAATCACCGCCTTCGGAACCCTCAAAATGTAGCGTCGCGCCCCTTTTGGCAAAGGTGCTGTCAAAAAGGCAGCTCGGATATCATCAATCGCTGCGCCCCATCTCTTGTAGCCAGCCTCGGCAATGACTGTTCGGACGATGTCGGCGGTGGCCCCGGCGCTGTAGAGGTCTTGCACAGACAACGTGTCATCTTCGACCTGGTTGCCGCATGCCACTATCCTCACCTTTCTTTTGTACCTTGCACGATCGGGATTCTCCTTCTCTTCTTCTGGATGCTCAGGTGGTTTCACCGTCCACACACACTTGCCGTGCACGTACTCCACATCTTCGAGGTTGTCTGCCTCCTCCTTTGTGATTCTCAGGATGGCGCCCTTACCTTCCAAAGCATCGATCTCCTTCTTCATTGACGGCTTCCATTTCATCAACACCTTCATTGCCTCGCTTTGTCTCACGGTGTGCACCACCTGGAGGTCCGTCATCAGCTTCTCCAACAACTCCTCCACATTGTCGGTGTAGATGTTCTCTATGGAGGCCTTTGCCACTCTGGCATCCTTTCTCCTCTGCTTCACTTCTTCTTGATCTTGCTCCTCGAAAGTATGGACGGCCCTGATGGCTGACACCCTCACTTCAGGTGACCTTGCGGAAGAAGAGCTCGCAGTGTTGGCTGCTCCCGAACTTGGCCTGAGGACTCCGACGAGGACAGGTACTTGAGTTCATCTCCCGGCAGGGCAAATCCAAGCTCACGAAGCGTATCGCTGTCTTCCGATGTGAGGCAGTCCGACCCCCTGATGGAGTATGCTGACAGCGCCACCCTGTCGCCAGTCCACGGCTGCGTTGAATGCCAGCTCCTCGGGTTGAACGTCACAGGACGATTAGCCACTGGAAGAAGCTTGCCCTTGACCAACTTGTCGCCAATCTTTTCCATGCAACTGATTTCATCCGGTTTTTCTGGCTCTCCCTCCACCCACACCTCTCCGTTCTGGAACTTGGATATTGGGAAGACCACCGTTTCAGACGACAAGTCGTTGTGGGAATCTCTATGAGGTTGCGTCCTGAGGTTCCTGAACAACGCCAAGGACGTGAATCGGTGAGTCGGATGACGGGTCCTCACCCAATGGGCCATCATCTTCGTCGAGTACTTGAACATCTTGACGTTTTTCTTCAAGCCCATGACTCCTCCATGCACGTAGGCGCCTGTTCCCCACTGCTTTGGGGCCCACATCTCAGGGTCCGGAGGAGAAAAAGCGTCCCTTGAAAGTTCATCGTGTGGAAGGAGGGCCATCAGCATCTCCAGTGTCTCCTGCGTGATGTTCTCTTTCTCCAAGCACTCCTTTGCGTATCGCTCAGGCGGGGACAAGTTCTTCTCTCGCCCCTCTTCAGGCTCCGATTCCTCCTCCAACACTCCTGGCGTTTTTTCTTTTGCTCTCCTTGTTGGCGGTTTGTACTTCACTTCACTTCCGCGCAGCTCAGGAAGCAACCTCGGCTCCAGTTCCGTTGGATCTATGAGGTTCACGCGCACACCCTTTGCCACCACCAGACCACCATCATCTCGTGCCATGATGTGCCCATCCGTGACGTCGCCTGAAGGTCCCCGATACGATGCTCTTTTCCATCTCGGAGGCATATCCCCCTCAGAGGCTGCCTTCTTTTCACCAGTGCCGGCATACGTTTTTGTCTTGTACCACATCTTGTCCAAACGCAGGGATCTCTGGCTCATTCGGTCTCATGCGCCTTTCCCACTTTTTCGCAGCAGCATGCTGCGCAGCCAGCGGCCAGTCCCCCGGTGACGCCCTTGACGATGTCAGCAAAGCTCTCACCGT